GGCTGCTCTCATTGTTCACGATGATAACGACAATATAAGTGGACGTAGCACCGACTGCCTTTTACATTTCCATCATTCTCATTAATATCCAAGAAAATTGTGCCCCATTATTTTAATTTAGATTTTATTAGACTAATTATTTTATTTATTTTGAGATAAGTATAGTAAAAATATTAATATATTACTATATTAGATACATATATATTACAGTTGTTTTAAAATAAATTTAATAATTTAAATTTCATTTCATGAAAGGCGGATAAGATTATTCTGACCTGAAGATTTTCCATTTATATTTTATTGATTTAAATTGATGAGACACTTTATCACAATATGACATTTAATTAAATTAGATATATATATCTGTTGCGTCCTGGAATATTCGCGGCGGTAGAGAAATATATAGTTTAACGTCTTAGCGTTGTACGAAGATCCAGCACACAATCAGATAAGTTAGAGGGTGTAGCGTTCATAAGAGACACCAAAGTTTTTACGTGGAAAACCCCTGAAAAAGGGGGGAAAAACCACGGGGCCAAAAAAAAAAAATTTGTACTAAAAAACTATTTTTTAAGACAACTTTCAAAAAAATTAATTTCGCACAAACGAACTCTAAAATAGAGCTTAAAACTAACACCAACCTATATTTTTAGATTCATTGGAAGAAGAATTAGTCATGGTCTCATGTTTTTTTTTTTTTTCTTAATTTGTATTAAAAATATATAAATTCTTTAAATACTTTATTTTATTATATTTCTAAACTATAATTAATAATCTTAAGAATATCTTAATTAATCTCCTTCCTTCATAAAAGAAGATTACAAAGCAAAATAAATAAATTAAATATATGTACCATATATGAACTATTAATTACCAGCTACATTAGCATCGTTTATGCAATGATTTTATTGATGATGATGCCAATGATTAGGTTAAAATATGCAAAATTTCGCATTGGAAAGTCGATAATAAAAAAATAATATGCATTACTAGTCATGAGTGCTTGTAGCTAGCGGGAATGGAGGAATTATTACGTGCGAAGTCCCGATATAATTCTTTGTTGGAATTATAGAGTGTATATTTGTACACAATGTGTGTACATTATATATGCTCATAGTCTCGAATATAACATTTATGTTCGGACTTCGCACAAAATAATTTATTATGTGGAGGATGAGGGAAGGACTTATCCTTCTTCTTCAACAACTTCATTATTGGAGCTTTGATTTGATGATTCAATAAGAGGAGATGATTAGATGCGCTCACGAGAATCCAAAGACCAAAAGTCTTTCTTTAAAGCTAGGGTGGTGCTTAATAGGTCCACTCATGAGGACATCGATCAGTCACGTCTATTTTTGCGGGTGAAGTACTGATGATAATTAATTTTTTCAATATGAGACTATACGTTACTAAAATAATGTGTTACTGTCCATAAAACTAATCTATTTTCAACACCTTTTTAAGTGACATCTTTTGTAAATAAGATTCAAAGTATTCAATCTAATATAAAGTTTATTTGTTAAATGTATTTCAAGATTAATATAAGAGAATTATGATTTATTGAAGTCATCTGCTTTTGAAAAATTAAATTAAATTTGTGAAAACTTAAATGCAATACTAAATATAAAATTATTCTGTGATAAAGTGCTGAATAAAAATATTTTAAGAGCAAATAAAAAGCTTTCTCAAGAATATACTTTTAAATGCTAAAAATATTCTTTTCTTGCAGAGTAAAATATAATTCTACATCAAACTATATTCAATTTCAAAAGGTTCTCAATATTTCATAATTTTCACATCATGATCATCACAGTTGATATGTCATGAAAATTCGCTTTGATCCTACGTGAATCTTGAGGCATATCTTAATTAACAACTTATAAAATTAAATTCAGGATCATTCAAACCCTAATTTCAGCAAAATTACAATCAAATTGAATGTCTCAATAAGACAAGCCCAACAACAACAAAAATGGATAAAAGTTGAGCCCAAATGAGATCAAATCAAGGGACAAAAGCATATTTACAAGCTTCAAATCATTCAGTGGATAACCAAATTATAGACAAAAATAGCATGCTTATAGTTGCGAGTGGCTCGATGACATCATTAAGACACTTAAACGCTGAATAAATGCTCCATAATCATTGGAATCAGTATGGGTCGTATGATGGACCACTTTGAATTTAGTCTAGATCTTTTCCATATTTACGGGGCATGCCAATTTCAAATTTTATAAATAGACCCCCACTCTCTACACTAGGGGGACCTTTAGGGCTAGAACTTTTTGGAGGCTTATACCTTAAGCTAGAAACTCAAGAGAGCTCTCCACCTCGGCAACACCGCTAACAAACCCTGACCACTAGGCCATCTCTGTTTGCTGAACTCATTGATGCACATGCAGTTCCATTTTATCCATATTACCGCCCACCAGCATCACAAACTGGTCCATCCACCATCCCTTACCCTCCTTACCCCCACCCATATTATTACCCATATCCTGAGCAGCTAGAACACGGTGGACCACCTAGAACAGCATAGGTTGGTGCTGGAGATCCTACAGCTGTAGCAGATAAGCGTCAATACATTGAGCTTGAGGACGATACGCAAGTTCAATTTATGTTATTAAATTTATTGTTATTTGATATATTGTATGTTATTAACAAAAAATTTAACATACAGCTTCAATACTTCAAAGCTACCTATCCACAAGATTCGGTGTAACATAAGGAGCAAATATGATGCTCCTTACTTATCATGGAAGAAGATCCCAAAGGAAATTAGGGATATATGGTTTGGAGAATTTCATGTATACTTATTTGGCATGAATTTACAAATTTGATTTAATTTTTTATTATGCCTATATTTTTTTACATAAAGATTTTAGGTGGTTGCCTGAGCATAACACGAGGATCAGAATAAATTTTGAGATGAGAGGATCAACCCTTCTTAGGGACATGTTCACGAATATTAAAAAGTTTGGGCAAAGGACTTACCAATATCAAGCTAACCATCAGTGAGTTGTTGAAAAGGGTAAAAAAAGTTATGTGAGTATAATTTTTTAGTTTAGGAATAAAATTTAATATAATAAAACTCATTCTAAGATCAATATATTTTATGAATTTATTCTCACAGGATAATTTTCTACGGGCTTGGGAAAGTCGTCAGTCCACTAGTGAGGGATCATCTTCAGGATCGATCTAGTATTCTGAATATTATACATGGTTAGATGTTATTGGATGAAGGCAGATGGGGAGGGTATATGACTTGGGTTCGCAAGGCTATACTTACGAGGTCAGTTTATCCACCTCAACATTTTATAATCCTAATAGAGCCGAAGAAAGTGTAAGTCAGAGGGTTGCAGCGCTGACAAGAGAAATAAAAGATATGAGAAATGTTCAAAATGAGATGTTAGCAGAGCTGCAATCCAATAGAGATAAAAATCAAAAGAAGAAAGAGAAAGAATAGCCACATGCATCACCAGACAGCAAGGACATGGAGGATGATTAGTACTATTATTTGTTTGATGAACTTATGATGAACTTATGTGTGAACTTATTTGGTTTAAATATTTGATTTGATGAACTTGTTGTGTGAAAACAAGGACTTTATTTGTTTATTTGGTTTGGTGAATTTATTTATTTTGATGAATATTGTAGAATTTATAATAGTTGTGACGTATTATAATGGCGTGTTGCTCATATTTGTGATAATTGTTATCTATTATGTGTAGGTTTAGAGTTTAGGATAAAAATCAGTAAAATAGATGGGAGACTGTCAATTTCTTTTCAAATGCTATAGGTTTTCGGCGGCCAACAATCGGAAACCTCCATACCGGGACTAATCATAGTCGCAGGTAATTATCAAAGATTACCGGCAATTATCTGTCGATAATCAGGCGGTTTAGCGGTGGTGATTAACCGGCAGTCATGAAAGCCAGTAAGCCGCCGATAATTAACCAGTGGTTTATTAGTGATTGTCGGCGGTCAACTGACGCTAATCCGGCAGTTTAGCCACTGGTAACATCAGCGATTTTGATAACCAGTACACCGTCAATAACTAACCGGCAGTCACCGGCGTTAGCACCGTTGAAAATTACCGGTCGTCTCCACCGCCGGTGATATAAACCGACAGAAATTGGCCATCATAAACAGTTTCCTACGCAGTTATTATGGCGGTTTTAAAACTGTCAGAAAGCCGCTGGTAATGTCTGAATTTTCTATAGTGACCTATGTCGCCGTCAGTAGGAAATGATTCTTAGTTGAGGGGCAACCTTTGCTGCAACCTCGAAAGGCCGTTCACGTTAACGTCCTGGGCACGATTTAAGCATGGTAGTCCCTTTGCTGTGATGTATTACCAGGTCCAAAAGAAGTAATTCAATATAGAGAGCAACATCACTACAACAACAAATATGCATTTTTCTATCATCTCTCAACCAACAATCATTGTTGCAATTATTTTATGGGAAGCAAATTTGGATTGGGGGGGGCAACTTTGATTGTAATCTACAATTCAGTTGTTATGACCTCCAGGTTCAGCATTCAGTTCTATCAGTTTTAACCTAATTTAAAAAGGTACGTATTTGAACTTTTGAGCTTTTAAATCATTTGCATATATTTGAGAGTATTTTGGTGCATGAAAGTGATTGTGTGTGAGCTGGAATGAGTCTCAAGTGGTTGGTGTGAATTTTAGCAAAATATGAAAATGTCACTTTTAAAGAGCCTAGATGTTGGGTGTTCGAGCACATCGGCGCTGCAATCAGCCAAAGTACCAAATACTAACATTGTAGCGCTCAAATCTCGAGCTTTTGGACTAACATTATAGTGCTTGGATTGGGTGTCGCAGCACTAGGCCAATATGAACACTATATATATGAAAAAGAAAAAAAGAAAGAAACAAATATGATAAAACTATGATTCATTAGGCAAACTCCTAAATACTCGCCGATTAATTATTCTGTGCCGACTGGTCGTCCTAAGACCAATAAAAATGTATCACTTCACCATAATTCCAATCTTTCGCGGAGACGGCTGCTACCTCGCCTTCGTTTGAGGGGACAGAGTCTTCTCGTCTCTATTGCAGCCAACATCTGGCAAACTAGGTAAAGTTACAATCTTGCACTCTATTGCCCTTTTATTTATATACATTTTGTTGTAGATTAGAGAGTTGCTTGGGTGGTTTGGTCACATAAAATGGCAGCTTTCCGGAGCTGTTGACAGCCAAGCTAAAGTAATAATTCTTTTCTTATATAGTTGCATTGATTAAGTCACTGAACTTACCGTCTGCTATTTCAGGGTGCAAGATACCTTCATTCTTAAAGAAAACCTTATGTTTTGCATCATATCTCAATGCAAAACTTTGGAAAAAAGCTTATTACTTATCATTGCAAATCTTTGACCCAAGCTAACTACTCTAAGGCACATTTTGATTTAAAGGTTCTTATGATCTGGAAATGCTCTGCATCATCTTTGACTAAATTTAATAATGCACAAGAAAATGACAACTTCTGGTTGAGGCGACTCGAGCACAAGGATTGGCTCGCACCAAATGAAGTTCTCAAAGTGTTTCAGAACTTGAAAGATCCTGAACTGGTTATGGGTGGATTTAGAAAGGCCTCAACTCGTGCGGATTATAAACCAAGTGAAGCTCTATATAGTTTATTAATAGACAGATTTGCTCGTGCGCACAAGTTTGATAAAATTGGTGTTTTGTTGGATAGGGCAAAAGGTGAGAAGTGCCGGCTTTCTAACGAGTTCTTCTACAGAGTGATAAAAATCTATGGGAATTTAGCAAATGATTCTGAGCTAGCCATTAATACACTTTACAGGATGCCAGAGTTCCAATGTTGGCCAACTGTAAAAACTTTCAACTATGTGCTTAACTTGCTCGTGTGCACCAAGCAATTTAAGTTAATTCATGAGGTTTTTCTGAGTGCGTCGAGGTTGGCTGTTTCGCTTGATACGTGTTGCTTTAACATTCTCATCAAAGGTTTGTGCGAGTTAGAAAAGTTGGAAGCAGGCTTTTCCTTATTGCATGAAATCTCAAAGCAAGGCTTGCTGCCCAATGCAACCACCTACTCAATATTGATGCATGCTCTTTGTAAGCATGGTAGAGTAAAGGAAGCATTTGAGACATATGAGATGATGGAGAGAGCAGGTTGTCATCCTGATGCCATAACCTTCAATATATTGATTTCTGGACTATGTAAAGAAGGAAAGAATGATGAAGGGATGGGACTTTTGAAGACAATGAAGCTGAAGGGATGCTATCCAAATTCAGCAACTTATCAAGCCCTTCTATATGGCTTGTTGCATGCCAAACGATTTGTCGATGCAAAGAATTTTATGGGCGCAATGATCTCAGAAAGGAGATATCCTAGTTTTTTGTCATACAAGATGACTATTGAAGGCCTTTGTAGTGAGAAGCTTGTTCATGATGTGGATTCAGTTTTGAGGCAAATGGTGAACCAAGGATTTGTTCCGAGGATGGGAACCTGGAAGAAGATTATTGGTTGCATGTTCTCTAAAAAAGATGTATATTTGAAGTGGCTGATCCTATTGGGCTGTGGTGATTCTCATATTGTCAGGTAGTGTTTCTATTGTAATAGCATATTGTCCCCCAAAAAACATAGAAAGCTATATTTCCTACAATCATGCTTCTGCTTCAATTCACAGGTATTAATAGGAGAGTTTATCTTTCACACAAATGAAAAGAGAACAATTTATTCTGATGAAATGCTCAATATGTTTTTGAAAGACTGAATAGTCGACCTGTTTTTGAGCAAGGCTCTTCTATTTCCGACGATCCAGTGAGTGATTTCATGTCGATGATGAGGTGAGGAAGCTATGGTTCAAAAGATGGATTTCTCTGTTGCGATGTGAGTGCTTTTATTCTATTCCCATTGAGTTCCAACTTTTTTAACTGGAAACTTATAGATCTGGTAACGATATTAGCAAAGAAAATCTGCATGTTTCAAAGGGAATGCAGTCTGCTCAATCCGCTCTAACACTCTCAGGCAGGCATCAGCTTAATAAATGGGATTAAGGATTTCCATTAATTGGAGCGAGCAGAGCTTCGGCCATAGCCACTCGTGTTGATCATGAGGTGTTGCTGTCATAGTTATTAATCAGAATTGGTAAATGCTCCAACTCCATCTACTAGGTGAGACTAAAGCTCTTTTCATATAATTCATTTTCTGAAGAAAGACCTATTAATTATATCGACCGTTGATCTCCTAAGGGGGTAAGGGTTTAAACCCTAAAACTTACACGAATTAGCTTGGGATCTTGTTCTATTTCGTTCATGAATTATTCAGCCAAAATATGAACGATTCAAGTTCGTTAGCAAATTAAAATGTTCTTCTCATGTTCAACTTATTTATTATTGAGCTAAACACAATTTAAACTTGTGCAATAAGTCGACTTATTGACCATTAATTATATCAAAATTTTATTGGGGATATTTGTGCAAATAACACTCAAATCTATCTTAGAAAATTAACATCTTGTCATGCCATAATCAAGTTGTTAAGAATTTGATAAAAAAAAAAAAATGTCACGTGTTTTATTTTGAATTTTGATATTTAGGTTGGAAATTGAAAAATTGGTGCTTGGAGGGTGTTATAGCCAGTTGCCATTGCATGAAAAAATAATGTGTTTCAATACATCTTAACAGGATCATATGGTTTAAAACTTGTGTTGTCTGTGATTTTGTGAATCTCATTCTTTATGATGATTTGGCAACGGTATTGTTTGGTAGAAGAAAAAAAGCATCAAATTTCACTTTGATTCAATTAATTTGAGAATAAAAGCCACTAGCACAGTTGATTGAATTACATTTTTCGTTTGCTTTTTTAAGTAGATTTAGAGAATTGTTATTCTCCTTCATCGAATAACTACGGTAAGTTTCCTTTCAACTTGAAAAGAGAAGGGAAGTTTTGCTACATAAATATTAAATATAATGGTAAGAAGACCGGAATTAGATTAAACTATGAGACCCTAAGCTTGCTTCATTTCAAATCAATAGCTAAGACTCTTAACAACCTCACTGCTTGTCCCTTGAGAATATAGTTGAAGAGATGTACGGAATAGTATTGTATTCTAAAGTATCACTAGTTCGGATATCAGGTTCTGTTGTGGATGGGATCAGATCTCCTTCTAACACTTCTCTTGTTCTTCTTGTTGAGATCTGAAGATGAAAATCTGGGAGCTACTCTAGCCTTCCTCTGCCAGCGCTGAGCATTCTTGTGGCCAGGACTCTCAACCTTGAACTCATCAGTGTGATCGACAAAAGACCCTCCTCCACTTATACGAAGAACCTCACCTTGTTGCGGGACCAAAAACCCAGAACAAATGAGAAGAGCAAGAAACAAACACAAGTAGAAAACCATTGCGGAGATCTGGAGTAACAGGAATGGAAGAGATTTCTTGCAATGAGAAAGAGGAAAACTAATTTGCTCCCAGGCTTTGATCCTGTAGATATAGTGGTAGTTTCCATGAAATTTGATTTTGGGTCTAAAAGTATAAAAGCTGAGAGAGGGTAGGAATGTCACAAGGCATTAAAGATATCATACGGGTAATGCTGCACCTCAAAAAAATATATATACACCTAAATATTCAGTTCTCATTGTTAAAGTGTCCCAATGAACTCTGAAGAGAATCTCATTCACATATGTTTTTCTTGCTCAAGTGGCGTGAGTTTTAATGTAATTTTTTTTTGGGAAGTATTATAGTTCGCTGATCATATAAGATTTATGACGTAAGGTCATTGCTTCTTCTGACATGTATGACTGACTGTAAAGAGGAGACGATACAGTAGTCTTAAGGAAGCTAACTATTGTCTTTGCATAACATCCTTTGGACTAACTTATCTCACAACAAATGAATAGTAAAGCTGACGCATCGTAAAACAGAGAACACAAACGTAGCATTTGTTATCGTGGATGTGGATGTTGTGCTTCCTTCTTTATGCTTTTCCTTTTTTGCTTTGGACTTAGAATTTCGCCAAGACATCCAAGCAGTCTTTCCAAGTTATAAAGAACGACGGCAAGAATCCGTATTCCTTGCTTCTTCTAGACGCATCGTCTTTATTATCATGTAGAATGCATATATATATATATATATATGTATAGAGAGAGAGAGAGGCTTATCATAAGTATTTTGCCGATTGACAAGTATAACATTATCACTGAAAAAAAAGGTAGAATTAAATAGCACATAACTAAAAGGATCGTGCCAAATAAATCTTTGGGTATAAATAAAAGGCAAGACTAGATTCAAACACACAACTCTCTTTGGCCTATTGGTTGGGAGCTTAGGCTTCCAATTAAGAGGTTCAGGGTTCGAGTCTAAGGATTCGAGTCTATGTGTTTGCGTTGTGTGTGTGAGTTTGCCTTAAATGGCCTAAATGTCCCCAAAAAAAAAGACTAGATTCAAACACAAAATGAAATCATATAATTAATATTGATCATCTTATTCATCATTTTTCAAAGAAAATGAATTTGGAATGATTCATAAATTCCACCCCTGTACATGAAAATCACTTAAATATGTAGCAATTTCACTTAACCTTTTTAGTCCCAACTCTTCTTATCATTACTTTTGTAAAACACGAATGCAACAGATATTATTATCGGCAAATATTAGCCTACACTATAAAGATTAAAACTAGTATGACTCATGACACAATTAAATGATTTGTGGCGTATCTAAGAATATAAAATTTTGTATCTCCTTAAAGTTGAATAGTGGTGAAACAAAAAAAAAAAAAAGGTCTAGAGATTATTAAAATATTCTAATTTATGTAGAATATAAAATTAGGAAGAGGAAGGTGTAGTGAAGTGAGGCTGGCCAGTTGAGGTCAAACAACGGTGCCACATTCTGCTATTGGGGTCAACACGTCTTTGAGTTCTGATAACTTCTGTAATGGGAAGATACACATAATGGGTATTGCAAATGCCTGTTGTTATACCACTGAACCCCGCAAATGCACCATGAACCTGCTCATGGAAATTATTAGAAAATAAAAATATATATATACAATTATTCCGATCATATACAACATCTGAGCAATACAAAAAGCTAGTCAGCTATTCGATACAGCTAGTCACTTCATGATACCTTTGAATCCTGAATTATGTTTAGAAATCATCTCCAAACATTTGTTTGCTCGTGCTATTAATGCGCTAATTTGAGGGTGAGTCGGAGCCGCTATTAAAATATTTGCACATAGAGTTCAGGAAATCATTGAAACATACAATATGCATGCATCAGCCTCCATACATTAAGTACACGGCTCTTTTTAGTTATTTTTTATTTTGTGTATAATTCCATTTAGTTAAAGAACGAGGCCTCATGGCCCAGCTTATAGGATTTTTTGCACCCAAATTAAAAGAGGCCTTGATAGTAGATAAATGTGCTGCAACCAATTTATTCCCTTATTAAAGGTGCATTAAAGAGGAAATAGGCTTGGGAAATATAACGCAAAAAAAAAGAGAGTATACTTACAGCATTCTGGCCAAGTACAGTGCATAGAATAGCATCTGATGCATTGGCACGGCATGCACGGATCATATATGTCGGATCAATGTACTTTACATCTGCTGGAAAATCAGCTTCTTTAAAATATCTTCTGATCTGCAAGCAAAATCAAACTATGATATCAATGAATGGATGTAAAATGTGGGCCATTCGGGTCAATATATGGAAACAAAATGTAGTCATTAAACAAAAATTTTTATAATATTGATAAATGTAAAGCTAAGCATAAAATAAGTTGATTGACTAACGCATTGATAAACATGTAATAAAGCATGTGATAGAGGATTTCTTCATAAAAAAGCATGTAAATGAACTTTCGAAGAAATAATGCAAAATATATAGAATAATTGGGCGCATAAAACCAGTGCTGTTAAAATCACACTTTGAAACTCTCTATATGAGCTACGACTCATAGTCACAATGCCTCACTTGATCACAAGGTGCTTTGCCACTGCAAAGTGCAATAAAGAGCTTGTAACGCATCGCTCTGCATTATCGCGCCAAAGAGAGTTTCACTTTGAATGCAATCTTCCCCACTCATTAATTAACAAAGAAAAAGGTTTAGGTTCCGATTCAATCTGGTATGTAAACGTTTATCCATCCAACCCTTGACCTTTTGATTTGAAGATTTTTCTCCTAATGCAATTCTTCTCTCAATATATTCTCTTCGCTAGATCATGCCAATCTTAAGGCTTGTCCATAATTCTTCTCCCCTCACGGTTCTCTGTGTTGATTTTCAATATTCTTTATCCACTAAAATAAAATTCTGGCCAACTATCAATACCTATTTATGCAATCCTACAACTACGTAATTTTATGGCATTGTTCAAATTTATTCATTTCCTAATTTTTCCATGATGGTTGATTGCACATAATTAGGTGATGGGGAAGATACTCATGAAGGGATGATTATATTCCTTACATTTTTCTATTCCTAATGCTCTGTCTTACACTTGTCTTCCTTGTTGGACTCTCAAAAGAACCCTTCGACTTCTCTAACATCAACTGTATGTTTATTTTTCCTTCAGGACTACAGACCCTTTTTTCGGGTATCCATTCAAAATCATCTCGATACAAGATGGCACTGAAATGATCTTAAGCTAAGAATTGAGGGGGTTGGTTGATTAAGGAAAGATAGGGCATTCACTCACCACACAAGTGTAGTACTGACTTCCACTCGTCATAGAGCTGGTGAAACCCCTGGTGCCTATCAACCTAGGACTAGTGGAGGATGGCATGAACCATATCAACACTATCTTGTAATGAATGAAATAAACTATTTCCTCGCGTAGAGGAAATCACAATCCATAATGAAAGTAATAGACAAAGAATCATAACATGACTTTGTTGACCTCTAACTGCCGACGCCAGATCAGACAAACCACCGATCGTTCCACCGACATACTCAAACGGAACGACACATCCGCTCATTCACCGCCTCTCTCACGTTACAAAAATAAACCCCCTCTCCCATTCGGACGGTTACACACACACAGAGAGAAGAAAAACGGAGTTTTCCAAACTTACCTCTTCATCCCGCCGGCCGATCTGCCTCCACCGACCCGCCGCCTCTCCGACCGTCCTCTCGCCTGAGCCGACCGACGCCGCCGTCCTCTGGCCAAGCAGACGCCGCCTCCGCCTTCGCCGAGACCCGTGCGTGCGTGACTCCCGCTCCGCCTCCTTGCCCGATCGGGTTCTCTGCCCTAGCCCGATAATGGGCTTCTCTCCCTCTCTCTATTCTATTATATATATATAATATATTATATAATATTAAGTATATTAGATTATAATATATATATTATGTTATAATATGTATTATTATTATTTGTATATAATAATAATAATATATATTATATTATATAATATTTATATTATAATAAATATATATTTTACTATAATATATTATTTAAAAAAAAAA